GCAGCATTCTGAACAAGCTGCAATCGTTGGAGGTGAGCGAGTTGGAGTCCAGAGTAGAGAGAGTTACAATAATCATATCTACTCTTCTCTCAGCTTCATTGGCAGCTCCCTCTCCTCACTTCTTTATGTTGCTGCCTTTATTCAACATGTTGTTGAATGTATGTCTTTTAGGCAACAGAAGTGCCTGGATAGAGTGGAGGCCACACAGTAATGTTAAGTTTAACCAAATATTAGTTGCTCTAGTCTCACATCAGTACTATCTAATACCACACAGACTATGCACTAGAGAGATGGTAGATTATAGTGTGAAAAAGGTAATTTTCTGGTAGGACAGACAGCCACTACAGCAGTTTTAAAGGACAAGTTTTTAAAAAATCGAGTGAAACACAGATAAATAAGTCGTAGACAATATGTGTATAATGACAATATGTCAGGTGTCCTTTTTTTGTTAATGATTGATGCAAAGTCTGAAGTGAAGTGAGGTGGGGTTCTCATTATTCAGTTTGTGAAGGAGATTCTAGTTAAAGTTTGACATGGGGGTGGGGGGGTGGGGGGCAACGCATAATGAGTGACTAACAGTTAACATCAGATCTAAAATCCTATTATTAAAAAGACAGCAGCATAAAAGTTGTTACCTGAAGAGGCATTGAGCTTGAGATGGCCTGTTTGATGTTTATATAAATTGACTGAATAGTGAATCCCAATAGTGATGGTTGTATGGTCTTCTTGTGCTGTGCTCGCTTTTGGGTGTTGGGGTACGTGGGGGATGTGTTTGCATCTTCTGACATGCCTGCTTTGCATTTGGAAGCTTAAAAGTTAGGGTGTGCCAAATCTCAACACGGATACGGTAACTTTGCAGATTGCAGTCAACTGAATTCTGTTTTCTTACCCCTCCTAATTCAAGCTACTTGGCTGCTGTAGAACAAACAACTCTGGCGATATGCCGAGTGTCCAGGTCTATTTACTATTTTATAGAGGAGGCTGTAAAGATTTGTGAATGGAGTCCAACACAAGTGGATGAGTCAGTGAAGCTCACTCCTGTCTTATGACAGTGACAGTGAGGTGAGTTGCTGAG